CACACATTATCTTCCTCACTTTTAAGAAAAGAGAACATCCAAAAAATGTTTTAACAAATAATCATTCATAATAAGAAAATTGTTAAAATCGAATGACCCAAAACAAAATAACATATGAGATGAAGCAAAAAGAAAAACTCGCTATGTAGAGATTCCTGAAGATACTCGAATGCATGTTTGTTTTATCTTTGTTTCAAAAATGGTAGGAAATATTATTTGAGTATTCCTCAACCAAACACACCTAGGAATGCAAGCATCTCACATATTTTATATATGCATAACTCCATGAGAGATGGACAACTAACTCCTCTTGGCTTACTTTCCACTGTAGAGCGAGGAAATGAGGTTCTCAGCCGCTTGGAACTGCAACTTCTCAAATACAATCTAGAGACCCTTCTTTGTACACCATCCTTAGCTACCCATTGATCTCTTTTCCTTGAACAAATTCCCCTCATTGAATGGTGATCTTGCAAACTCTCAATTGATCTCAATAAATGCAAAGAAGAATGTCCTATAACACATTTCAGAACAAAGTATGTGATGGTTCTTGGCCGGAGAATGCAAAGAAAAGAAAAAGGAAGTAACAAAACTTATATGCAAAAGTCTATTTCTTTCATTCAAACTGAACAATTTATACAGCAGCATAACTATTATCCACTGTTACAACAACTACAGCAGGGATTTACAACTTTGAATTGAAACTCTAACCACAAACAAATCATACTTAAAATATATCATTTACATGACTTAACTACACCTAAGCCATTCAACTAAAATACACCCAAAAAGTTGTAGCCATGCACATCAGACCAACTGCAAAAAACTAACTTCAACTGACTCCAAAAAGTTCAAATTGAAACCTGTAATGTTGATACATTTCCAACAAGGTATCAATGCATCAACACTCCTCCTTGATACCTTTGCTGGAAACACCAAGTTTGAGTCTAAGTTCTTCAAACTTGGCTTTAGGCAAAGCTTTGGTCATAATGTCTGCAAATTGGTCCTCACCCCTGCAGTGAATTAAAGTAACTTATCCATTGTATTCAACTTCTCTTACAACATGGAACTCTATCTTAATGTGTTTGGTCCTGCCGTGAAGAACTAGATTTGTGACCATGGCAAAGCAGACTAGTTGTGACACAAAATGGAGTTAGAATTCCTGATTCTGCTTCAATATGGCAAGACTTCCTAAGCCAACAGCTGGTTCACAGCTGCTGCAGCAAAAATATACTCGCCTTACTATGGACTGTGCCACAGTATCCTACTTTTTGATAGCAAGCTAATTGCACCAGAGTGATGTAGAATAAATAACCTGAGGTTTTTTCATATCATTAAGTGATCCTCCCCAACACTGTAGTATAGCCCAGCAACACCAAATTTTTAGACCTTCTAAACCAAATGCCAAGGCTAGAGGTCCCTTTCACATTCTTAACACCTCTCTTGGTGGCCATAATGCAATTCAATTGGACAACTCATGAACCTGGAGAGATAATTGGCAGCAACATGAGGTCTGGTCGTGTGGCTGTTAAGTACAACAAGCATCCAACAGGCTTCTAAACAGTCCCTCATCCACTCTCATTTCACCATCATTCTTACTCAACTTCAAATTGGGAAACAGTGGGTGTCTGCAGGTTTGGAATTTTCCATGCCAAACTTATAAGTACCTCATTGCATACCTTTCTTGGCACACAAAAATTCCATGTTGGACTGAACAATCTCCATACCAAGAAAGTACGTATCTCCCCCAAATCTGTCATCTCAAATTCAGATTGCATGGACTTCTTAAACTGACTCAAATGATCTACGTTGCTCCCTGTAACAACAGATCATCCACATACAAAGATATCACAATCAAGTCACCTTTAGTTTCCTTAACATAAAGTGTATGTCATTAGGACTTCTAACTATCCTAGGCTGCTTAGGTGATCATTTATGCGGCTGTACCAAGCTCTAGGTGCTTGGTTTAGGCCATACAAGGCCTTCTTCAGCAGATACACTTTGTCTTCTTCACCCTTCACTTGATAACCTTCAGGTTGCTCCACAAATACTTCCTCACTCAACCAACCATTCAGAAATACTGACTAACATCAAGTTGGAAGTTTTCAGCCAAATTGGGCTATCATTGCAAGAAGTAACTGATAGTGTCGTGTTAGCCACCGAACCAAATGTGTCAGAGAAGTCCACCCCTGCTGTTGTGCAAAACCTTTAGCCACAAGTCTTGCCTTGTGTTATGGACTGAACATCAGGATTAATCTTAGCTTGTAAATCCATTTTACTGGATTATTTCCTGTTTCCAGGTCTATCAACAAGCCTCCAGGTATTATTTTTCTCTATCATAGACATTCCTCTTGCATTGCATTCCTCCAAGCTTATGACTCAACAGTTCAACATAACTTTTTGGTTCAAGCACTGCCACATTACACCTTGCATATACATCAGCCAAGGTTCTCCCTCTAACCGAAGGCTCTTCATCCTCTTCGTTTCGCTTCTTCAATAAATTCTCAGTTGACTGCTGCAGCTTGCAGTCAACATCAATCTTCTTATTCTCCCAATTCCACACTGCATTTTCATCCACTTTTACATCCTTTGTTATCACAATTTCCTTTAACTAAGGGATGTATACTCATACCCTTTGGATTGGCTACTGTAGCTATATATATACCAATCTCAACTTTATCATCAAGCTTTGTTCTCTTCCCTGTTGGAACCCCGACATAACATACACTCCTAATATCTTCAAGTAGACATGCTGGTTCATTCCGCTCCAGGCCTCAACTGGAGTTTGGTCTTGATTGCCTAGTTGGCAGTCTGTTCAGGAGATAGAATCTTTTATGATAGCCTTGGCCCAGAACCTTTTAGGAAGTTGCTTCTTTGCCATCATACACCTTGTCCTCTCCATGATGGTTCTATTTCTTCTTCACTGACCATTCTTGCTGGGGGTGTAAGGTGTAGTGAACTGGTGCCTAATTATAGCTCTTGACAGATTGAACAGAATTCTTTTGATGTATAATCTGTTCCATTATCACTCTTATGGATTAATTGTTCCAGCTTGATTCTTCACCAGCAGTTTGAACTTTTTGAATAAATAGGTACTTAATTTTTCTGCTTCAAGAAGTATACCCATGTCATCCGTGTGAAGTCATCTATGAAGAGCACAAAGTACCTGCTCCCACTCATTTATCAGTTTGCATGGGCCACAAACATCAGTATGGATCAGCTATGGAGTTTTGGTGTTGCTGTCTAGGCCTGATCTGGGGAAATTGTGGGTGCTTAACTTACCAATTGGCAAGCACTGTAGAGGCCTTTTCTCTAATCTCAGGTAGATCCTGGACCATATTTTTGTTCCCAACTCTTTGAGACCATTGTAGTGAAAGTGGCCAAGTCTCTTGTGCTAGATTTATACTTTTCCAGCTAGATGATAAGCGTGTTGCTGGAAGTTTTCCACTCAACCAGAAAGTTTTTCCCAAAATTTTTACACACATTAATTCATTTGCTTCAGGGTCAATATGGTGCAGCTTGATTTTGAAAATGTAGGAGTAACTTTCTCTAACATTTGCCCAACACTTAACCAATTTTGACTATCTTAAGCACATACAAGACATGAGGAATAATTTTGGTACCTAATAAAGTTTGGACAGCCACATTCCTATGCCTTGACCTCCACAAATCACCATTTCCTAGTTTAACTGGAACAATATGAGTGTCCAGGTTGATGAAACTTTGCAGGTCTGTAGCCATATGGTTAGTGCAACCACATCAATTAGCCAAGCTTCATTGCTAGTCTGTGCTATGTAACGGAGGCCACAAAGGTGTTCAACCTCCTAACATTGTTGTTGATCTTCTCCAACCCGAGCTGCTGTGTTGCTGGCTTCCTTGTTCTTACAACCTTCTCTATGTGCCCCAATGTTTACAGCCTCTGCATTGTATCCCTGGTCTATACCAGCACCTCCTCTCCGAATGTCCCTCTTTTTGCAGTGAGTACAGGCAGGATACTCCTTCACTCCACCTGATTTCTCCCACTGATTGTTACTCCTTTCTTTCCCCTTTTTATCCCCAACATACCCTATTTTGTCCTTGTGCAAGCTTGCCTTTTTGGTTTGCTACCATTGCTCCCTCACTTGTGTCCTCTTGCCTCAAGAGTTCTTTTGCTCTGAGTTTGGAGAGCATGAACAAGCTTAGTCAAAGTGATCTGAGTCATGTCCTTAAAGTCCTCAAGGGAAGAGATTTTGGACTCAAATCTCTCCGGCAAGCTCACCAAGACTTTTTCCACCATTCTTCTATCTGTCAACTTCACTCCCAACAGCCTTATTTTGTTGACAACACTATCAATCTATCAACATAATCCTTGACTTTCTCTGATTCCTACATCCTCTGCATTCAAACTCTCTCCTTCGTTAAGCACCTGCATGTTCATGCTTGTGGTGATGTCCATGTACTCTTCTCTGAGCTTGTCTCATGCTTCCTTTGGAGTCTCATATGCCATGATCCTTGTGAATACAAGGTCAGTCACTACTGCATGAATGTGAGAGAGAGCTCTCGGTGCCTTGGCTGTTTCTTCCTCATGCAGTCTCATTTGATTCAGGGTAGGATTTTGTCCTAATGGAGATGGCTGCCTATTTTCTTCCACATATTTCCACAGCCCATAGTCTTGGAGGAAGGCCTTCATTTTAGCAGCCCATATGTGGTAGTGTTCCCCATTAAACACCGGTGGTGCCATCAAAGCAAATTGAGTTGCCATGTCTTAGTTTTTTGTGTCTGTCGCATAAAGAAAGTGAGCAGATGCAGGCTGATTTTAGCTGAACTGGAAGGTGTTCTTAAGTTGTGGTTGATGGTAGGATGCAATAAGTTTCAGATTTTTGTGGGTGGCTTTGATACCATTTGATGGTTCTTGGCCGAAGAATGTAAAGAAAGAAAAAGGAAGTAACAAAACTTGTATGCAAAAGTCTATTTCTTTCATTCAAACTAAACAATTTATACAGTAGCATAACAACTATCCACTGTTACAACAACTACAGCAGGGATTTACAAATTTGAATTTAAACTCTAACCACTAACAAATCATACTTAAAATATATCATTTACATTACTTAACTACACCTAAGCCATTCAACTAAAATACACCCAAAAAGTTGCAACCATGCACGTCAAACCAACTGCAGGAAACTAACTTCAGCTGGCTCCAAAAAGTTCAAACTGAAACCTGTAATGTTGATACATTTCCAGCAAGGTATCATTGCATCAACAATATGCAGCATCATTACCTCTACTTCACCCTGCAGACCAGAAAAAGTAACATTATTAAAACCAAGTTCTCTAACACGAACAATTAACCCAAAATCAATCTCTTACCAAAGAAAAAAAAAAAAAAAAAGGCTTTATCTACTATACCATCGGTACAGATGAATAAACAAAAATATAAATAAAAAGGAAAACACCCAGAATCCTTAATGAACCAAACAATACCATGGATACATCCTCATTCAACAAAGGCTAAAAAATGGTAAAAATAATAATAATTTTGGTAGTCAAGGATGCCATATCAGATCCTAATCCACGTGGTTAGCTCATAATCTAACCTGTTTTCTTTTCATTTTGGTGCATAAATGAGCATTTTTCCTGTAACAAAATCCAGCATTATATGTTTGGTCTTTGATTATTTATGTTATCCCTTGAATTTGCTTTTTGTACATTTTTGTGAAAGTATAACACAACTCTTGACTTTGGGCGGTGGGCTTAATTACTTTAATTGTGATTTTACTTTCCACAAACCCATTCCCAACACGAGTGATTCATTGTATACAATTCCAACTTGGCCTCTTGCACCTTTTTCCACAGTGGATGTCTGGCATCCTAATCAGTATCACCCACCAAAACTATTCTTGGATCTCTTCCACAGTAACTACAACACCTGTAAGCTTCCTCACTTACCTAACTGAACCCAGGTCCAACTTCATTATATATATGCATACTATCCATTTATCATCTATCATTCATCAATCATATCAATTCTCATCCCACATGCTTAAACCTATTTTATGCATAACCACTTTGGTATCACATCACGCCAAATCCTCATTATAAAGAAAAAGAAGCAGAATTTTTCAACACATCAAATCAAAACTTTAACTAACAAAATCAAAATAACATCTCGCAAATAATCCAAATGTAAATACTGTGGATATCTTCCATGACGACTTCATGAAACCCTTATGAATTCATCATCAAAACAACACAAAAAGAATTCAAATCAAGAATCAAATTACAAACCTGTCTTGTTAGGTTCTCATTAACAAAAGTCTGCTCCTGAGATGCCAAACGGCTCCTAACCTTCTTCAACCTGTCTTGTTAATTACGTTTCTCCCAGAAGGTTCTGAAATTTCATCCACCTCAGTCTCCTTTTCAGCCTCCATGGATTCTGCTCGCAATGCATTTGATCTGCTCCCACCGTTTCCAACCACTGCAAGAGCTTGTGTCTATCCAGATAGAACCATTTCATCCAGCTCCTTTTAAATTCAGAGTATGTGATATATATATAAGTAGCTGATCAAACGTGATAAAAAAATCATGACAAATCTTGAAATCGGAATCAAAATATTCATCACAGATCAACAGATCCAAACAATTCATGAAGCTTTGGACCATGTTAATCGGGCAGTAGTACAAATTTTACCACTCAACTGAACCTTCAAAAACTCATCCAAGTTAAAGCAAAGAAAAATCTACTTCCTTCCTACTGATATCTCTTAATGAAACGAATAATAAAAAGAAGTTAAGCCTAATATCATTCAAGACACTAATTGACCATCATGAAAACCAACACAACCATAAGGTAAGCTATGAGAATATCAAAAAATAAGGAAAATAATCTGATAAACTACACACTCGTAAATTTACCCTAATCCCTCTTGAAACAAAACAGAGGAACCCAACCCCAAAGCAATGATTATACAAGCTAAAGATCACTCACATGAGTGTATTTTTCAGCCACTATACCAAAGGCCTTGTTATGAGATACTACAAAACATGCATGCACTTATAATACTTTACCAAAAAATTTGTTAGGGAATGAACACTCTCCCATCCCCGAAACGAATGGAAATTAAGCAGCAGTTTGCAAAATTTCAGCAGCAGTCAATAGAGTATATTATGCTTGGGTTTCAAGTTTGCCTTACTAAAGTAAATACAAACCTATGTTTGATATTGATACAGCAAACCAACTCTTGTTGAAGATCCTCTACAGTGAGCATCGTCCCACTATTAACTGGAGAAGGAAGCTCAGGTAGCACCTGAGGCAAGAACAAAATTAATTTAAACTGAAAAATGAAGGACAGCTGAAGAGATACAAAGAAAATTGCGTGGTTACAACATTAAAGGAGTATAGTCATTCCTAGGAAAAAGACAAAATTTACCTTCTGAAGGTTGGCAGCATAATTTGCTACCATATCTTCATCAAGATCATCACCAACTTTATAAAGAAGGTTTGAACCATGCACTCGGATTCGGCAAGAATCTCATTTTTTGGTAGTACGAAGGGCGAATTGGCCTAAAAATTGGATAGGGGTCAACACGTAGTCGGGCGCCAGCGACTAACTCAAGTGCCCCATGAACCGCGCGAAATGGTCGGCTATTACACGGCTCGCTAACTCTACCTGAGGTGGGCGTACCTATTATTCGTCGGCAGTATGGCGCACCCCTACTCACTTAAAGGATGCTGCTTAATTATGAAGGAAATTCTTTCTTTTTATTAATTTAGAGAGTTCCCTTTTGTTTTTCAGCTTGATCAAGATACGGTAGCTTCTCCTTCAAAAAGAAGAATAAAAAGCTTATGAGTACAATTAAAAAAAAAAAAAAGGTATTAACATATGACAATTGGCTCAAACCCATATAAATTTTCTTATAACTGTTACCTCCATTGACATATTCTTCCAAGCCTCAAACCTTTGTCGATCAATATCAATCAATTTCCCGTCCTTGCACATCTTGACAAAGCTTTCCCTAAACAACCCACGAATACAACATAAATTTGTTCATTCCAAAATGTTAAATAATAATTCATAAATAAATAAATGTTTGCAATAGTTATAAAAGCAACAACACTTTATTTAGATTGAGAAAGTAACATGTACACATTTGATATTAAAAAAAGAAACCTGAAACTATAATGCAATTTATGGTTGTTAGTATCCTACGATACACGATACGAATCCTACGATATGATTCGATATGGGTCACCAATGATACGTATCAGAGGGTATATCACAAACCTTTCGATACGTTGATATGTATCCTACAATACGATACGTATCAGTTCGTATCCTTAAAAATATCAATACGGCTTTTTTAATTTGGGCCAAAGGCCCCAAAAAAAATTCGGGTCGTGTTGAAATAAATCGGGTCGGATCCAGGTCACCCGACCTAGTTCACTAAAACCCACCTAAAATTACCCATCCCTAATTTTACCCTAGCTAGATTCACTCATGGTGAAGAGAGCAGTTGCACGCACCTTAGTCTCTCGGTCCCCACTCCTCAGCAATTAAGCTAAAAGTCACCAAGTTCTACACGATTTGTTCAGGTATACTACTCTTTTTCCCTTTTCATTTCATATTTGAATTGTAATATAATATTATAAAAACCTTGATTTGTTTGTTTGCTCATTAAGAATATAAAAGGTTGATTCATCTTTGTTGATTGTTGAATACAACTGGAGATAATTAAATAATATGGAGCAATTGCATGCACCATAGCCTCTCGGTCCCCACTCTCAGTAGTTGTTAGAGTCATGAAAGTGACTCTATTTTGGTGATAAAAATACCCCATGTGTGATTAAATTGAAGTATATTGAGACAATTAAAGAATTTATGAATTTATTCATGAAAATCGCTTCATAATATTTTTCTTATGAATTTAACATGTTTGGAATGATTTTGGAAAGGATATGAGTTGATATTAGATTGTGGTTTATGGATTAGGGGTGATTTTGTCTCATTTATGCTATTTAGGGGGTAAACTATCATATTTATAAGGATTGATTTATCACTTTTCAATTATGTAGGGATCAAAGTGATATTTTTCATTTTGTTCTATAAAAGAAAACGAAAAGTTGCAGATCAAGGGAGGCACTGTTCATCCATCTTTTTCGACGACACTTCAACTTCCTTTCCAGCGACCTCCGGCGACAGTTCGGCTTCCTCGTGCACAGATCGTCGTCATCTCCATCGTCCCGGATCACCACCATGGGAATCATCACGCCGCCGCGACGTTTCATCTTCCACCATCGCGACTCTTGGCATTCCAGGCTAGATTTCACCGTTTTTCGGTGACATTTAGGCTCCTTGAAGGTTGATCTCCTTCCCCACTGCCAGATCTACACATCCCAAGCTTCAGCCGCCGCGAAAACCGCCGGAATCCGCCATCTAGCCATCGCGACTCTTCATCTTCCAGCCCAGATCCTGCTCATTTCTAGCGACTTCTCATCTCCCCAAGACCTGATCTGAACTCCCCATCACCAGAGCTTTCCATCGGTACCTTTGGATCCCATTTCCGCCACCGTTTTCCAGAAGACCCGTCGAAAAATTAACGTTTTCCAGCGAGTGCGGTTGTTCGCATTCCGAGCTGTCCGTTGGTCATTTTTGCCCCTTCTTCGCATCATAGCACTATCGGTTACCTCCTCTCCACCATGATCAGCTTCGTTTCCACCGTTTCAGCCTCTGTCATCACCACCATGAGCGGCTAAGTTTCCGGTTGTCTGTTACAACATAGGCGAGATCGAGATTGACTCCATGACTCTCCTCATCAACTCTCGACTAGTTGGATGAGCCTGATTGTAGGACATTTGGTAGTATTGTGCTTCAGATTATAGTTGTTTTCGTTTCATGTTTGATTTCGATACTTTAATATGATTTGAGCATAACTTGTGATGAATATTGTTGTCCATTATGATTTAATGTTTTCATAGAACTTGCTGAATGATAAATGTTGGTTTGAAATAATTAAATGATGAATATTGCTTTTCATTACTTCACATCGATTGTAATTGAGTTGTGTTCGGATTTAATTTAATTTCTAAAACGTTGTTCTTGCGTTTGTTGAAAGTTGTTTGATTGGAATTTACTGTTACAAATTGTATTTGTTATCGCTACCAACTAGTGGATTGCCTTGTACATTTATCGCATTTAATGATAGTCTTTAACCAATCGAACTTGAGTGATCGAGTGAGACTAGATAGATATACCTAAGGTGGGAGGTCATTTCATTGATTTACCTTGCCTTGTAGGTTTAGGGGATCGTTGAGGGTGGAGGAGATTGTGTGAGTCAGTCCCGTGTCGAACCAAAACCGTAACGGCACATTTTTTATTATAGTCTTTATTAGTTTTAATTCACTCTTTCATTATTTGCATTTAGTTTCATAATCAATTGCCAATTTCATTTCCGCTACTCAAAATACATTAGTTTGTTAGTCTTGCTCCCTGTGGATTCGCCCCTGCTTACCAGTAACTGCTATTTAGGTTTAATTTTGTGACTGTGACGACTGGTCTAACAAATTTTGGCGCCTTTGCCAGGGAGCAACGTGCTTTTGACTTTGTGTGTTGGGTAGTCATTGTTTTTTATCTAGGTTTATTTTAGTCTTTGTTTTTTTGTTTGTGTTATTTTCTTTGTATTGATTACTGTTTGGGTGAATTTTTAATTTTTTTGTTCCGTTTAGTTTCTCTTTGCATTGTTAGTTAATTATTTTTTTTAGGTTGTTTGCGTAATTTCATTTTTACTTCGTTTTATTTTATTTTCATTGATATGTTTCATTTGTGTTTGTTTTTTGTTTTGCAGGAAAATTGCAATTGGGAAAACGCTTCAGCTTGTCGTGAGCATTGAAGATCCTGCACATCCCGATTGTGAAATTCTCTTAACCTTTGGTTTTTTTTATTCCTAGGATTTAATTTTTGTTCTTAGTATTAATTCTTTTAGTTGCATTGATAAATTTAGTTTTAATTAAATATTGTTGTGTGAAATTTGTGTTGGGTATAGTTTCGTTAATTTTAGATTTGTTTTAGTTTTGTTTCGTGTGCTTAGTAAATTTTTTTCTTAGGTTTTGCTTAGTTTATTTTCTTTGACATGTTTGCTGCATTGCTTGTTGAGCCTTTTGTGTCTTTGGTTGGTAAATGTAACTAAAGGTCTTGTAATGAAGAGTTATTACCTTTGAATCTTGAAATTAACGCACTTGTAAGAGGAATATAAACAAGCACGTGGATGGCTACCAAGATGAACCCCACATTTGCCCCTTAGCCAACATTTCGCACCCACCACCTATACTTCAGCCTCATGTATCCCCAATGTCCAGACACAACACTCTGAGATCAAAACTAGTGTCATCCAATTGTTGCCAATTTATTATGAGAATTAAATGAGGCCATACAAACACTTAGATGAATTTTTAGAGGTTTGCTCCATAGTTAGACTTCAACATGTGAATGAAGATGTCGTGCGCTTAATTTTGTTCCCATTTTCACTTAAGGATCGAGCCAACAGTGGCTCAATTCTTTGTCAGCAAGGTCCATTACCTCTTGGACCCATGCAACAAGGATTCCTAAAAAAGTATTATCCCATGGTAAACCAACAGCATATGATGAGCCATTACTAGTTTCGCTCAACTTGATGGCGAGGAATTTTATAAGAGTTGGGAACGTTTGAAGGAAATGCTTAGGAAGTGTCCCCATCACGCAGTCCCTAGGTGGCAATTAGTTCGTAGTTTTTATGACGACTGACCGAGAGGCAGAGGAATATGTTAGACCCTCTTGTGGAGGAACATTTATGCACACGGACGAGAATAGTTATGCAACTCTTCGAACCTTAAATGAAAATTCATGCACCCACTTTTTTGCGTCTAGAATGCCTATCTCAGGGCAACCATCCAAGAAGGGTGGCGTGTAATAGGTGTCATGTTAGATGACATTAGTTCCAAGTTAATGTTGGCCCACCAATTTGACCAGTTTGTATCTATACAAGGACAACCCTCTACACAATCAACTCAAAGGCGAACCAGATGTTTTTGCCATGCACTCCATTCTTGACCTACCGTTTGAGGAACCTGCCCCTGATCTTTTGAGGAGCAAGTGCAAGTTGCACAAGGCTTCCAGAGACGGAACGATCCGTACTCAACACATACAATCCTAGGTGGCATAACCACCCTAATTTTTCATGGAAGCCACAACCACCTCAGAATGTCCCTATATATGTCATACAGCAGAACAATCTTCTAATCAGCAAGGCATTATAGGGAGACAACCTTCAATCCAACCACCCAACAACCTAGGTTCCCACCTCCGTTCAACAGCCAACTCCAGTGTCTAGTTCACTAGAATCAATGAGGCTCAAATGCTCCAAACCATGCAGAACAAAAGCCAGCATGAATGCTAGGTTCAAGATTTAAGAAATACCCAACTTCTACATTCCCATTCCCAATCCATTTAACTAGAACCCCAGATTGGTCAAAGCCAAAGCAGTCAATAAGAGGGAACAAGGTCAGTTGCCTAGTCAAGTCATAGGTAACCCTAGTGTGTTCTTCTCAGCAGAGAGGGTTTTTCGGATAAGCTAAGGCTATGATGACTCTTCGGAGCGGCCGCGAGCTAATTAGGCTTGAGAGGGAAGTAAAATTCAGGGTAGAGA